ACAAGGGTGTAAAGTACCTAGGAAAAACCCAAAAAAGTCAGACAGAGTGACTTTTTTTCCATTGGGGTTCCTTAAAAGGAATCACACCCAAAGTTTACTTCTTCTTCACTAGTGCTGCCCACATCATATACCCAAAGAGGGGGTTTGGGTTTTCTATGCATTTGGTGTAACTTTGTGTAAAAGGGCCCACCCAATACAGGGGGTTAGCTGCCCCGTTTTTCCCCATCTCCACTCTCCTTGGGTTCAGTAAATTTTAAAATCTATGAAAAGCAAAAACCCTTGAAAATTTTCATCCACTGATCTAAAAACCTACTTACTACCTGACTCCTCAAATATCCTCACCGGGAATTTTCTTTGTTTTTTTTTGTCATGGTTTTAAATTTCGGGTCATGCTGGCTTTTCAACATTATAAAGCACTGCTTTTGTTGAATTTTTTGGGTATTTTTGGGTTTAAAAGTAAAAACCAAACCCCTAATTTACGGGATTTCAAACCCAAAAACCCCCCTTTCACTTTTTGGTTTCCCCGTAAGAAAATCGACGGCCAGTTTTTTGGGGACTTTTAAAATATCCAAAAATTTCCCCGGGGCTTCAAATTAGGGGGAGAAAGCGGGTAGACCTACATGTGAGAAAAGGGGGTTTCTCCCCTGTCAGGGGTGCCCAGTAAAAAAAAAAATCGGGGAGCCATAAATGCTTTGTGGGAGTCCCATTTCATGGGCCTTTTCCCCCAAGTTTTGTGGAAAACATATCCTCATTTTCCCGGGTAAATTTGGGGCCCGTTCTTTTCCCCAAGTGATAGTTCAAAACATAGTAGAAGGGCCCAGAAAAATTTAATTTTTAAATGTTAGGATTTTGGGACCAAAAGAAAATGCCCAGGATACCAAAAATTATGTTTAAAAAAACCCAGATGCCCCAATAAACCAAAGGAAAACCCCAAAAAAAAGCAAAGGGGATTTATTTCCAAAATGGGTGAGGGGGAAAGGCCCGCATGTTTTTGGGGGAAAAAGGGTGGGGGAAGGGGGCGGTGGTGGTGGTTTTGAAATTTGACACCAGCCATCCCTGCTCTCAGCACAACAAAAAAGGGCCACTTTCAACCCATCCACAGACAAAAACCCCCCCCCCCATAATCTTTTTAACATTTCTGGGAACGTTCCGGGTTGACTTAAAAGGGTGTATAAAAGTTATGGGAACAATCCCCAAAATAAACAATTTTTTTTTATTGTTGGGTTTTTGTAAAAAAAAGGTTTTTATGAAAAACAAAATGATAACAATGTTTTGGGGTTATTATGTTCCTAAACAATGGATATATTTTGGGTCTCACGGCCATAAAAGTTACTTAAAAAAATTTAAAATTAGGGGCCCCCCGGGATCTCGCCCTTTTGGGGGATATGGGGCCAAAATTGGTTTTTGGCCATTTTGGGGCCAAAATTCTATCCTGGTTTCGGCTGGCAGCTGGGGGGAAAATTTGGGCCCGTTTTGGGCCGCCCCAACGGGCCTCTCCCGCCGCGTTCTGAGCCCTTTTCTGGCAAAGTCCTGGGTGAGTGAGCAACACCCCCCCCCCCATTCCCCAAAATTTTTTTGAAAAACAGTCCATTTTTTTTTTGTGGTTGTTACTTGATTTTGCCCTGGAAAAAAACCACCATCCTCAAAGAAATTTTTCTAGTGCCACCCCCTTTGATAAAGAAAGGGGAGAAACAGAACCCCCTTTGGACAGTTTTTTTTTTTTGTGTGACAGGGGTGCATGCCTAAACCCGGGTCCTAGGCCAGTAAAAAAAAAGAAAAAAATTTAAACCCGGGTTTTGGGGGAAATTTTGGTTTAAACTGAAGTCCTTAAAAGGGGTTTTCCCCTTTTTCCAAACAATAACTCCAACTCCCCTCTCCCCCCTCGCCTTTTTCAATACCCCCAACAAGAGCCCTTCAAAAAAGGTATGTAATTTTTCATTTATTATTAAAATTTGTCTTTAAAATTTTTTTCCCCTTTTTTTTCTGATGCAAAACAAATTTTAATCTTTAAAAAATTTTTTTTTGGGTTAATATTTTTGGGTGCCCTGGAAGGGATTAATTGTATTTATTTTAAATTCTTATGGGAAAAAATTGCTTTGGTTTGGGCCCTTTTTTGGGGTTTTTTAAAGGCCACCTTCTAAAATGGATTACAGCCGAAATCCGGGTTTTTCCCGCGGGGTTCCCTTTCCCTGTAAAAGCTTCACCCCTTTCCATCCGGGTAAGTAGTGACCAAAAAAAAAAATTTTTTTCTTTTACAACACCACAAACATGTTCAAAATTTTTTAGTAGTTTTTTTTTTTTTTAAAATTTAATTTTTCGACACAGAGAGGGACTTCAGGTTCAGGGTCCCCCGACAGTAAAAGGGGGCAATTAAATTTACGCCAATTTTTTTTAACTAAAGGGGGCCCCACCTACAAAAAAAAATTGATTCAAAACTTTTTCCCTGATACCCTTTTTTGGGTGTTTTGGGCAAAACTAAAAAAAAAAAAAAAAAAAAAATCTTTGAATCCCAAATATAACCTCCAAAAAAAAATACCCCAAAATTTTTGAAACAAGTTTAATTTTTTTTTTTAAAAAACCACCCCCAAATTCCACCCAAGGCAGGGTGCCGGGAAAAAAAAAAGAAATTTTTTTTTCCTTTTATATTTAGAAATTTAAAAATACAGGAGGAGATTACTAGCCCCTTGCTCCTGACTTTTTGGGTCACCTCCTAAAACATGCGGCTTTTTGGGAAAAAGTTTTTTTTCCCAAATTCCACTTATTGGGGTGGCAAAATTTTTTATATTATTAAACAGATTCGGAAACTTTGAACCTAAAGGAATGTAACCCCTTGTGTTTTTGGGGTCTACTGTAAAAATTAAATGGAAAAAATTTAAATTTTTTATTTTTTTTTTCTTATTCTGAAATCGGGGGCAGAGTTCATGGACATATTTGTTTTTTTTAAATTCAAGGGGGGTGAGAGTTATTGATACTGAAAGCCCAAAAAGGTTGGCAGAGTTTGGGTCCCAAAACGGAAAAAAATTCATGTGTGTGTGGTCAGTCTTTAATCGGGGAACCGAAGCGGGTTCCTTGTTTTTATTCCCGGGAAAATTAACAGTTCTATCTTGTTTTTTAATACAAATTTTTGAAGGCTCGGGTACCATTTTCCCAAAGGGAATTTTTTCCCCAAGTAAATTCTAAAAG